TCCTTCCCAACTGCTGACCCTGCTGACTTCACACCCAACACCAGATTCAGAAAAGCCACCACCTTGCCCAGTGGTTACCCTTCCACTGATTCCCTGCTCCTACAATAAATCTCTCCTTCCATGTCACCCTTAGTGGTTCTGCTTCTCCGATCAGACGGTAACTGATCTCTGACCCACTGACTGGGCTCTGTGGGAAGCAGACACTGAGATGGAGTTAGGAGCACAGAGGTTTACTGGGCGTGACACCTGGAAACATAAAATGGTGAGGAAGCATTGGCCAGAGGGAATCCCAGACTGCCATGCACCTGGCAGAGGGTCAGCCAGCCCAGTGGGGAGATCAGGAGCGAGACTTCCGGCTAAAGGAGTCCCACAAATGAGCAAAATCCCCCTGGCTAGAATCTGTCAACTCTAGCACACCATGCAGCTGAAGGACAAGTTCCTTCCTTAAAGGAGACCCCTAGTGCTGCACCCCAAAGCTGTAACCACCTACACAGTTAAACAGTTGGCTGACTCGGGTTTTTCCCTTTGTTATAAATAATACTTAAGTGAACAACCTGGTAGGTCAGTCTTTCTGCACATTCAAATTATTTACTGAGGATAAATTCCTAGAAATGAGAGCTCTAGATCAAAGAATATGGCCATTTTTAAGGCTTTTAATTTATAAAACCAAATCTGGTCCTTAGAAGCATCATGGTTCCAATTAGAATTTAATCAGCATCAAGGCTGGACATCTTTTTTTTTTTTAAGATTTTATTTATTTATTTGACAGACAGAGATCACAAGTAGGCAGAGAGGCAGGCAGAGAGAGGGGGGAGCAGACTTTTAATGAGCCGGGAGCCAGCCCTCTCCACTGACGTGGACCGAATGGAACAAAGATTTTTGCAGGAAAAAAAAAAATCATTTCATGATAAATGAGAATTGCGAAAGGGTGAGGCCCGTCTTAAAATTCAGTCTTTAGGGGCGCCTGGGTGGCTCAGTGGGTTAAGCCGCTGCCTTCGGCTCGGGTCATGATCTCAGAGTCCTGGGATCCAGCCCCGCATCGGGCTCTCTGCTCGGCAGGGAGCCTGCTTCCTCCTCTCTCTCTGCCTGCCTCTCTGCCTGCTTGTGATCTCTCTCTGTTAAAAAAAAAAAAAAAAAAAAAAAAAATTCAGTCTTTATTTTTTTTTCAAGTTTTTATTTAAATTCTGGTTATTTAACATACAGTGTAATATTAGTTTCAGATGCAGAATTTACTGATTATTAACTTCCATACAACACCTACTGTTCATCACAAGTGCCCTCCTTAATCCCCGTCACCCACTTAACCCATCCCATCACCCACTTCCTCCAAATTCCTTTTTTAAAAGGTCTGTTTCCCGGGTCTCCTGGATGACTCAGTTGGTTAAGCATCTGGCTTTGGCTCAGGTCATGATCCTGGGCTGCTAAGGTAGGTCCTCAGGTCAAGTTCCTTGCTCTGCGGGGAGCCCGCTTCTCTATCTGCCTGCAGCATCCTCTGCTTTCCTCTTTGTCTCTCTCTCTGACACATAAATAAATAAAATCTTTAAAAAAATAAAATAAAATAGAAAAAAGGTCTACCTCTCTTCCCTGGAAGATTATGCATCCATATAATCCACGTGGTAAGTAAAAAATAGGCATATATTTTTTAATACTTCTCTGCTACAGAGAGGGACTGTGTATTCCCTCCATTTGTAGGCTCTATGACTGTTTTGTCCCGACACGCTTCAGCAGAAGTAATGTGCCTGTGTACGGCCTGGGCTTTCCCACATCTTGTCTCTCGGGACACTGTCTGTGGGAGCCCTGAACTGTCAGGGGGAGAAGTCTTCACATTGCCAGCTGGAGAGACCAACCTTCCATGCATCCCTGTGAAGGTCCCAGACCTTTGAGTAACGTCAAATCAGACCCTACAGACCGTCTGCCAGCTGTATACCACAGGACAGCCTCAGTCCACACCACAGGCAGCAGCAGAATTACCCGGCTGAACCCTGCCCTGTTCCATGATCCACAAAGTCACTGGTTCTGATAAAATGGTGGTTGCTAGGGTGCCTGGGTGGCTCAGTGGGTTAAAGCCTCTGCCTTCAGCTCAGGTCATGGTCTCAGGGTCCTGGGATCGAGCGCCGCATCGGGCTCTCTGCTCAGCAGGGAGCCTGCTTCCCACTCTCTCTCTGCCTCTCTGACTACTTGTGATCTCCGTCTGTGAAATAGGTGAATAAAATCTTAAAAAAAAAAATGGTGGTTGCTTTAAGCTGTAAGCTTAGAGTGATTTGCTGACACAGCAACAGATAACCAGAGTGTCACGTGAAAGGCAGTGGCTCCATGCGAAAGGAGTAAACCTTCCTGCTCCATCAACCTCAGGCTGCAACGTGACTTGCTTCGGCCAATGGTATCCAAGGAGACAAGTCATACGGCAGGTGCATGCCAAAACTTATCTGTTTCCTGCAACAATTTTGCTTTGTATTCTCCCATGTCCCTGGCAGGGCTGCCCCTTCTGCCTTCTGCCTGGGTCCTGCAGCATGTAGCCTCATGGAGCAAGATGTCTGACAACACAGAACATAGGCAAATAAACTCTCGCTGTTACAAACCTTCCAGTGGCTATCCACATCTGCAGTCACACTCAGAATCAGTACACTGTATAGCTGTTATTTCTCCCACCCTTTATCATTATTAGGAAAACCCATTTCCCATGACAGAATCTGAAAATGTCAGATACTCATTTCTCCAGCCTCGCTTACAGCTAGAGGTGTTCTTGTTCCAACAGGTGACAAGTGATGGCTAGTCAATGAGGGGAGTATACTTCTGGAAAAGATTGTCCTCAGTGACCAGGAGGGGGGACATGAAAAAAGTTACCTTTAGCTGCCTTGACTGTCCACTCAGACAACTGTTCTAGACACTGCTCCTGTAAAGAATGTGATAGCTACAGCCACAGCAGCCATCTTGTAACCATGAGGCAACAGATTGGAGAATTTAAAGAGAATATACTGAGAAATGAAAGGATAAAAGATCTTGGGTCCTTGATAAAATTGTTGAACCACTCAGCAATCTAGTACTGCCTACCACCAAAAACATCTTGTAATGGGAGAAAATTGTCTTTATTGTTTAAGCCACTGTTAGTTGCTAATTCTTTTATTTAGAGCCAAAAGAAAAACCCCAACCTGTATATAGTTTTTGTTGATTTTGCAACAGCATTCTGATTTTCCTTTAGGGAAAAGACATACTGCAGCACGCACGCACGCACACACACACACACACTGCATTTGGTCCAAGTGAGATTGCACTCTTCTGTTGCTGGGGCGAGCACATGACCAGGTCCGGCCTGGTCATCAGAGTGGCCCATGCATATAGCTACTGTGAGTAAGCTGAGGTTCCCTTCTGGGACATTGAGCCAGACTATCCAGGAAGAGAGGCTCCCTCTTCATTGGGATCGCTGCTTAGGAATTAAACCAACACCGAGGAGAGCAGAGCTGAGGAATGGAAAGACTAATTTCTGATGGTATTATTAAACTTTTGAGACTTTCCTTTGTCTGGTCCACCTTTGGACTTTCCTTTCAGTTTTATGAACCAGTAAATTCCTGATCTTTCATAAACCAGTTGACAACGGGAAGAATCCTGACTTATACAGACCAGAGTCCTAGTTTACATTTGGGGCCAAAGGGCCTCAGCTGAAGTAAAGCAGAGTTGGGGGGTTGCTGGGGAGGGGAGCAAGCTATGGAAGGCCAACTCCACAAGGTGGCTGCTTGCATCTGTTTCACAGATAACAGAGACTGAGACACTGAAGGGCAGTGGGATCTTACCCAAGGTCGTACAGTGAGTAACCAATTGGAAGGGTGCAGATTCAATTGCAGGCCTAATAAAACTCCAAAACGCAAGTCATTTCTACTGACCCACACTGATTTGCAGGGCAGGTCTCTAACCAGAAACCAAGCCCGTATATTGACTCTCTTTATTGGTGTTGGCTGGGTGGGGCTGAGGACGACTCAGAGTTTCCTTGTATTTGAGAGTCAAGTTCAAGATTCTTCACTGTTTTCCTGATCAGTTAAGAAGAGGCAATGGTAGTCATGATTAAGTCTATCCAACATCACTACCTGGTCCTTCTACTTGCTTCCCTTCCCAGGGCTCCCTACACACTGTCTCCCATTCAGTCCCCTTGGTGAGGAAAGGAGCTCCCTCAGGAACTCCCATCTTTTCTTCAGGATATATAGATGGTATATGGGTCCAGGTCAGTTAAACCCTGTCAGAGCATCCTTGTGGCACCAGCTGGGACAGCTCCAGTGCCTGCCACACAGCCTTCTGGGAGGTTCCTCTCAAGGTAGGATTCCACGCACAAGCTTATAGATGCCTGCAGCCCCTCCCTGACGACTCACCCCTCCAGCTCTATAATGAATCATCCATCCTATCACCCTGCTCCTTTTTCCTGGACTTGACCTTGTGAGTTGACTCCATTTCCATGGCCAACATCTTGCCAGTCCCAATCTAACCAGCAGCCAGCCTGAGGACCAGGATGTCTAGCTCACTTTTGGCTGCCTCCAAACTGTCCCAGCAGAAGGCAAAGCTCTGCCCAGGACTTCTTGGTCACAGTGCCCTTCAGCTTGGGGTTCCCACAGTGTAGGGAATACACAGCTCATGTACATGGGTTGGTGTCTGGTAGTAACCTCTCGGCTTTAGATAACATCCTTGAGTCACGTGGTGCAAAGTTATTTCCTTCCCAAGTCTTCCTCCATCCTTCAGGTCACCAAAGAGAAGCTCTCTTTGGTACAGACACTTGCTAATCTCCCTTTTTGACACTTTGAGGAGGAGGGCTGGTGGCCATGCCCCACCAAGAGGAAAGAGCCCTTCTGAGAATAAAGCCAACACAAAAGAAAGCCGACTGAGAAATGAATCACTGAGTCCTGATAGCATTGTGTGAGCCCTTTGAATCTAACTGTGCCAGAAGACCCTTCCGGACTTTTCCAGCATTCTGAAGATACTTTTCAAACTTTTTTAATTCCATGAGTCCCTAAAAATCCCTTTTTAACTGAAGTTGCTGCAAGTTGGGTCTTCAGTTGCTTGCAGAATATTGCTGGCTGATTCACAAATTTGAGATCAAATGAGTTAGGCTTTATTTAGTACACGCCCTTCCGGCTTTCTCTCCTTGGCCTTGAATGGAGTTTAGTATAGACACAAGAGTACAGTTTATGGAGGCCCTGCCTCTGTCGGGGGCTGAAGACGAATCCCAGGCTGAACTGGCCCATGTAAGCTAGCCAGAGGCACAAACGGGGTCACTTCAGGATCCGGATGCTCATTTTCTGCTCGATGTCCATCTTCTCTAAGGACTGGTGGGGGAAGATGGGAGGTAGTCAGGAGCTCAGTCCTCTAGGCTTCTAACTTCCTCTCCCATCCCCAAAGCCCCACCTTTCCTCGGCGACCCCGGTCTTTCTGCCCACCTCCTCCCAAGTTCCTGTCCCACGTCCATCTGTCCTAGGGACTCCTGATGTCAACTCCCCAGGCCTAAGGTCATTCTGACCTTGGTGAACTCCAGGAAGGACACAGCCCCATCCCCATCTTCATCCGCTTCCTGCACTGTGCGGTCGGTGATGCTCTCCAACTGCTCTTCTGTCACCTGCACCCCAACCATCAGCCGGAGGACCTGGGAGGCGTGGAGGGGGACAGCCATAAAGAGGAGGCCCTAGGGGCGCCTGGGTAGCTCAGTTTTTAAGCATCTGCCTTTGGCTCAGGTCAGGATCCCAGGGTCCTGGGATCGAATCGCCCACATCAGGCTCCCTGCTCAGCGGGAGACCTGCTTCTCCCTCTCCCACTCCCCCTGCTTGTGTTCCCTCTCTCACTGCCTTTCTCTCTGTCAAATAAATAAATAAAATCTTTTAAAAAAAATTTTTAAAAAAAGAGGAGGCCCTAGCTCCATTCCCCAAACCTCACCCACATCATCCAAAATATTACCTATTTTGTAATCTATCCCTCAGCCATTTTTTTCACTCCCCACCGTATCCCCCCAATAATGTCCCCTACGGCTTCTCCATTTGAACCCCCACTTGTCTATTTTACACTCACTTGAACAGTATACTCAAACTCATTACCCAACTCCATATCTTATAACCCAAGTTCCCTCCATCTTCCACCCCATCCCCCACCTCATCTTCCAACTATTCCCCATTCCATCCCTATCCCCCCCACCGCCACTCACTTCACCATATCTATTGCAGAGTTTCTGAATCTCAGCACTCTTGACATTTGGGGCCAGGTAACTCCTTATGGGCGTAAAGGAGTCTATCCTTTGTACTGAAAGATGTTTGGCAACATTTTTTTACTTCTACCTACCAGATGCTGGTATTACTGTCCACTCCCCAAGTTGTGACAACTAAAAATGTCTCTAGATATTGCCAACAGCATTTAGGAGGCAAAATCACCCCCCGGTTAAGAACCACTGATCTATTTCCAACCTCACCCCCAACTGTTCCCCATCCCATTTTCCAACTAAACCCACCCAGTGACGGATTCCCACTTAATACCCCCCCACCGGCATCTGCACCCCCATTGACCCGTCACCGGCCCCATCCCCCCACAACCTTTCACTTCAACCAACCACACTTCTCACATCACATCCCTCATCCTTTTGTTCTTCTAACCTGTAGCATCTCATGCCTGGAGATCTTTCCATCTCCATCCAGGTCATAGAGCTGAAATGCGACTAGAAGAGAATGGAGGGGGACAGAAAGGTGGGTCTTCTCTGGTACTCTTCCAGCAGAAGGTCTCCCTGGAGGTGTGTGTGGGGGGGTCATCTAGAGGCTCGCTAAGAGAGGGGGTTGCCCAGGGCCTCTTCCTGGTGCGGTATATCTAGGGTCTCTCTTGGGGGGGATCGCCACAAACTCACAACGAAGTTTGTTCATTCTGCTGTTGAGGGGTTCAGGTTGCTTGGGATCTCGCATGCCTGAGTCGGTGTCATCGACAGGTCGAAAATGAGCCAGGACTCTGACAAAGCCTCGGAAATCCACTCGCAGATTCCTGGGGGTAATGGAGCGGAGGCAGTGGTCCCCTTCGGCTTCCCTCTGCTTCTGTCCCTAACTCTTCCCAAGCCCTCCCCCAAAAGTCCCCCCCAACCCCGCCGCCCCCAGCGAGACCTCACCCGTCAGGGAAGAAGCTGTCTATAATGCGTTCCCCCAGGGGGTTCACGGCCAGCGCCCCAATCTGTTGCAGATCCACGCGGCTGTCAGGTCAAAGTTCAAGCGGGGTAGGTAGGGCAAAGACAGGAGATGGAGGGTTAGTTAAAGAGGGGAGTGGGCCCAGAAAGACAGAGTGGCAGGTCCTGAAGCCGGCGCCCCCTCACCTCAGGTAGCCCTTCTTGTTCCTGTCCAGTGCCCGAAACCGGTGGTAAAGGCGGAGCAAACTGGCCTGCGAGACTGCGGGGCGAAAGGCGGAAGGGTGACAGGACCGCCGGCGCTGGGGACGCGCGGCGGGACCCTCCCTGGGCGACCCCCGGGCCGCGGGCGGGGGACCCGAGCCCGCTGAAGGGGACGCCCCGGGGACCCCAGCGGGGCTGCAGGGGGCGTGGCGACGCGCTCCCGCGGGGGGAACCGAGGCACCAGGGCCAGCCCCCTCCGTCCTCACCCCCGTCCCTCCCCGCACTGCAGAGCTCGAGGACACCTGGCTGCCCGGCTCCACCTGGCCGCCGGGAGCCCGGGTTCCCGCGCCCGCCATCCCGCACGCCCCCTGGAGCCGCCCCGGCTCCGGACCCCCCGCGTCCCGGGTCGGAGCCCGGCTCCCCGCTCACAGCCGGTCTCCCGCCGGATGCTGTCCCCGTCGGGAATGCGCGCGGCGTGGGAACCTCGGGAGCCCATGGCTGCGCGGGCTGAGCCTCCCGGCCCCGCACGCTCGCCTCCCGCTCCCGGGCGCGGCCGCCCCAGTGGCCCCAGGGCCGAAGGCCGCAGGCCTGGAGCGGAGCCAGGCTCGGGAACCCCTGCGTGCCTCGCCTCCCACCCGCGACCCGGGCGAACAGAGAACAATGCCCAGGGTGGCGGGGTCAGAGGGGCGGCGCAAACAACGGGGCGTTTCATCCCGAGCCGGTGAGGTCGCCAGGGCCCCGCCTGCCCCACGCCCGCCCGCCTTGCGTTTTCAAGCTACAGGACAACCGACCCACGCCCCCCGCGCCCCCCGCCTCCCGCTCCGGCTCCCGGTAAGGCTGGGATCCCGACTTATCATCCAGAGAAGGAATCCACGTCCTTCTGGGAAGGGGACGGGTGGTGGGGAGGGGAGCTGGACCCCTTTGTCCCAATCCCCGGAAGGGTCCAGCCTGGGGCCCCTTCCCCAGGCAAGAAGACAGAGAAGAGGCATCGATGGACACCCGCGCCCCCCCCCAGAAGGGTGGAGTGGGGAGAATCGTGAGCGGTAGAGGGGAGACTGGGTCGCATGGAGGGATCCCTGGATTTGGAAAGAAGTGGATTGGAATCCCAGCTATGCGATTAACCCTGGACAAGTCGGTATGACTGGGCTTCATCTCTTTTGTTCCGTCCACATCGCATAACTGTTGATGTTTAATTGGGTCAGTGTACAAATCAGGAGCTTTAAGGAGAAATCCAGTTCCCAGCTTCTGAGCAATCAAGAGTTCAGACGCCACCAAAGCCCCTTTTATGCCTGGTACACCTGGCTAACCCTGGGGAGCAGTTGTCAAGGGTAAATAGGGCGCTGCTGCCTGTCCACTGGCTCCAGTCCCCAACCAGCTCAGTTCCTTCCTTACCTACCCCGTGGGGTGTCTGGTAGAAGCTCCAGGTTGAAATGCCTTGGACGTCTGGCCAGCCCTCAAGCACCACGGGAACCCACAGTCTGAGAAGTGCTTATAAACATCACTGTGACCAAATTTAATATAATACTAATGGCAACAACAAGGGCTGTCGTTTTGCCCTCATCATGCACCAAGCGCTTTGTGAAACACAATGTACGCGATTAGCTCACACTCCTCAAAGCACCTGCTAGACTGCCTGCCTCCCCCTTGTACATGGTGAAGGCTGCTGAGGGGGTGCTTATGAACTACCGAGAAGCACGTATCCTCAGTAGGAGACATATCTACCCCAGGGGGCAAAAAATCCTAGTATTCTTGTGTACCAAACACAGATACACATAGAGTGCATAGCCTATAGTATATCTGTGGTATTGAAACTTCACAGTATTAAAATTCCATGATTAGGAAAAATAGTCTGGAAACCCTATTAAGTGAGGGCCGTAATGAGGAAAGTGTGGAGAAACTCAGTTGTAAAGGAAGAGGCACCACAGGTGTCCAGTTTTAAATCTGCCATTATCCCATCTTCCCCCATCATAATCACACATTCACACAAATTTCCTAGGAGGAAAAATATATATAAGCCATTTATTACAGGAATTCAAGTTCATAGCTACCTTGGAGAGAAAAAAGCTGAAAAAACGATGGATCTCCAGTCGAAGCCTCCATGCAGAGACTTGGGTCAGATCAGCCTTGAAAATATTGATCGAAGAAGTGTTTACTTCTCTTTCAGACACCCCAGGGACTGAACAACAGGCATAAGGAAAGCTTGATTCCCTTTCAGATGTCCCCCAAGGACTGAAGTGTGTGGGAAACCACATGGCTCCCTAATGTAGCCCAGCAACCACTCCTGTCCGAGGCTCTGAGTCAAGCTGTCAGTGTAGTTTGGGTTAGATTCTGAACCCAGGGAGGCTCAGAGTCCCCGGGATCAAGCAGTAATCACCTCAAGCCAGCTGGCAATGTTGATCTTGGAAGGAGCCACTCCAGCCTTAATCTCTGAGTCAGCACTACACTAAAGTAAAGTGGGCCAGAGATTAATTAACAAATCCCATCCACACACCATCAACAAGCCTAGAGGAAAACACTGTGCTAAAGCGCATTCCTGCTATATGCACATAAGTAGGCTTTTTTAAAAAATATTTTATTTATTTGATAGAGCGAGCACAAGCTGGGGATGGGTGTGTGTAGAAGAGGGAGAAGCAGGCTCCCCACTAAACAGGGAGCCTGATGCATCCCAGGACCCTGGGGTCATGCCCTGAGCCAAAGGCAGATGCTTAACTAACTGAACCACCCAGGAACCTGCAAGCGGGGTTTAAATCAACTTCAAAATATGCACAACTGCATCTTTTGGGGTCATTTAAAGGAGAGATGCTTTGGGGAGAATTTCATCTACTTTGAGGAGAATCTATCTGGCCTGGATTCAGGCTGAACATTTGGGGGTTTTTGGTTTGTTTGTTGCTAGAAAGCCACATAAAAGTTGCTAGCCAATTTTGATGAGGCAATACTGAAGTTCAAATGGAAAAATGCAGATGTAAAAGTAACTGGGGGAGCGCCTGACTGGCTCAGTCGGCAGAGCATGCAACTCTTGATCTTGGGGTTGTGAATTCAAGTCCCACTGTGGGTATAGAGATTACTTAAAAACAACAACAACAAACAAAGTTGGGGCATGTGGGTGGCTCAGTGGGTTAAAGCCTCTGCCTTCGGCTCAGGTTATGATCCCAGGGTCCAAGGATCGAGCCCCGCATCAGGCTCTCTACTTGGCGGCGAGTCTGCTTCCCCCTCCCTCTCTCTCTCTCTCTCTCTGCCTGCCTCTCTGTCTACTTTTGATCTCTGTCTGTCAGATAAATAAGTAAAAAAAAAAAACAACTTAAAAAAAAAGAGTAGTCAGGAAAATATAAATCTCTTACAACTCAATAACAAAAAATGAACCCAATTTTTAAATGAGCAAAAGAACTCGAATAAGCATTTCTCCAAAGAAGATATACGAATGGCCAATAAGCCCATTGGCTTATCGCTTACCATTATTAGCCATCAGGGAAATACAAATAAAACTGCAATGAGATCATCACTTCAAACTCACTAGACTGGCTAGAATTACAACAAAAACAAACGCAAAACCCCAACAAAACAAACCAAAACCCAAACTCAAGACACAGTAAATAACAAGTCTCAGCCAGGAGGTGGAGACATTGGAACTCTTTCATGCATTGCTGGTAGAAATGTAAAATGGTGCAGCTGCTGTGGGAAACGGTTTGGAGTTTTCTCAGTAAGTTAAACAGAATCACTGTATGAGTAATTCCACTGCTAGGACATGCTGTAAAGAATTGGAAACATACATTCACCACAAACACTTGAACATGAATGTTCATAGCAGCATTATTCAGAGTAGCTACCAGGAGGAAACGACCCAAATGTCCACTGACGAGTGGATAAACAAAATGCAGTATGTCCATGAAATGGCATATCATTCAGCCATAAGAGGAAGAAAGTACTAATGCACCCCACAGCATGGGAGAACCTTGAAGACACTATGCTAAGTAAAATCAACCAGTTACAAAGACCACATATTCTATAATCCCATTTATTATGAGACATCAAGAATAGTAAAATCTATAGAGACAGAATGTAGACTGATGGTTGTTGAGGGATGGGGGATAAGGGAATAAGGGAATGAAGCTAAAGGGTATGAGGTTTTGGGGTTTTTTTTAAAGATTATTTATTTATTTATTTATTTGACACAGAGAGAGAGAGAGAGAGAGAGAGAGAATAGATCACAAGTAGGCAGAGAAGCAGGCGCGCGCGCGTGCAAGATAGGGTGGGGGGGAGAAGCAGGCTCCCTGCTGAGCAGAGAGCCCGATGTGGGGCTGGATCCCAGGACTGCGGGATCATGACCTGAGCAGAAGGCAGAGGCTTTAGCCCACTGAGCCACCCAGGTGCCCCATGAGGTTTATTTCTGAGATGATGAAAATGTTTTAAAATTGACTGTGATGTTACAATTCCCATTTAATATTTTAACTACATTTGTACGTCCTCTTAAACCACATTTAAAATTGCTTTAGGGGGCACCTGGGTGCGCCTTTGGCTCAGGTCATGATCTCGGGGTCCTGGAATCGAGCCCCACATCGGACTCTCTGCTCAGCAGGGAGCCTGCTTCCTCCTCTCTCTCTACCTGCTTCTCTGCCTACTTGTGATCTCTGTCAAATAAATAAATAAAAAATCTTTAAAAAAAAATAAAATTGCTTTAGGGCACCTGGGTGGCTCAGTCATTGGCTGTCTGTCTTCGGCTCAGGTCATGATCCCAGGGTAGTGGGATCAAGTCCCACATCAGGCTCCCTGCTCAGCGGGAAGCCTGCTTCCCTCTCTTTCCCTCCCCCTGCTTGTGTTCCCTCTCTTGTTGTGTCTCTTTCTGTTAAATAAATAAATTAAAATCTTTAAAAAAAATAAAATAAAATTGACTGTGATGATGGTTGCACTCTGAACATGCTAAACCCAATGAATTGGATGCTGTAAAGGGAAATTGCATGCTGTGTAAGTTAAATCTTAATAAAGCTGTTTTGTTTTGTTATTTTTTTAAAGAATATCCAGGAAAGCTCTGGAAAGTAAAAGTAATGAAGGCAAACTAGCTTGAGCAGATTTTAAAATCGACTATTAAAGTATAATAACCCATGTGGTAATAGTGCAGGTGTCAACAGATAAAAAAGAAAACGGACAGGAAAGTCAGAAATAGACCCAAAAATGTATGTGAATTTCACATGTGATATAAGTGGCATCTCAGATCAGCGGGGGAAATGTGGATTACTCAATAAATGTCATTTGGGACATCTATCTTTTGGGGGGGATTTAAAGCTGTACCCTTACCTCCTTACACCAAAATTAACTCCAGATAGAATGAAGGTTTAAATGCAAAATGAAATTGTGCAAAACTTGAAGAAGTCTCAGAATTTGTCATAATCTTGAACTGGAGAAGGTCTTTTTAAACATGAAACAAAGCCCAGAAACCATACAGAAAAGACTGGCAAATTCACAATGTGAAATTAAAACTTCCATATGGTCAGAAAGACAAAC